ACGCCGTTGCTCGACACGTTCGCTGTTTAAAACGGCGGATGAGACACGAAAGATTTCCACGTCATTCGCAGACGCGTAATGTCCCGTGAAAAATTTCGAAACGTTTCCGACAGCACGCGCAACGCGTCGAAACTTTATCAAGTCCGACGATCGGAAAGCCAATTTTGCTGAAGTTTAATAACGTTAGAGCGTGGACGCCGATCCTTTTCTGGGTCGACGTAGGCAATATCACGTAGTGCGTCATGTGCACGTCTATAACTTCGATATATGTGAGCGTAATACTTATGTAATACGTATCTGCCCGCGGCGCACGTCTTTCTTTGCACCTTGCAATAAACAAATCGGTCTTTGCTTGCTGCACAAATTCGACACTTTTACGAGGGCGGTCCGATAAGTACTTAGCCTACAAAAGAAAAACGAAAATTTTGGAAAAGTGGCGATTTATTTCTCAACATAGTCTCCTTTCAGCTCGATACACTTGACCCAGCGATGCTCCAACTTCTTTAACCCATCTGAAAAATACGTTTTCTCGAAGTCTGCAAAGGCCTCCGTGGCGGCGATGACCTCCTCATTCGACTCAAATTTCTGCCCGGCGAGTGACTTTTTCAAGTTTGGAAACAAAAAATGTCGCACGGGGCCAAATCTGGAGAATACGGTNGATTTTATCTATTTATTTATTTAACGGGAAACAGATCCTTTTATAACACAAAACTAAGAGACGTGCTATTTTATATACATGATCGAGTATGCAGTTGTATGCTTCTCTTGCTGAATTTACAAATTAATTTGCTGTAAGAGGAAATTAGTAAATATAGCGAAATACTATTTTATTCTAACAGCAAATCAATGTGAATGTTTCAAATTCAATCGGCAGAGTGTTCTCTATCTTGATAACAAAACTGTTTCTGTTTTAATTACGAATAATCGTTAATTTGATTATGCCGACGAAATTTTATCGTTGTCGCAACGAACACGCAGTAGCAACGATATGATTCCGCTACAGCAGTCAAATTATTTTTCCTCGTGTAAGCGAACTAAACGAGAGAGAAACACGACGTAATAATTGAATGATTATCTTATCCACATCTCCTGCCGAAACCTTTGAAATTCCTCGATGGACTTTTTTCCAAATTTCAGCCGCAATAAATACAGGTCACGCAATACATATTTGTAATTTAAATTGCTCGGAGATTTAAATAATGCACTCTACCGAGCGAACACACGAAAGGCTTGACATCCGTCGCTGGCATATGCGCGTCACACGTTATCACGCGTGTTGTTTTTTTCTGGCGATCTACGCATTTTGAGCGCGTCTCGTTTCACCGTGCGCATTGCCGGAAGAGCTTTTGCAAATAAGCGAAATGTAACTGTGATCGAGGCGACACAGAAGCGTAATATTTTATGTAATAAACAATCTAAAAGAGAAAACGAAAAATTCGCGACATACGGGCGAATAAATAAAACAAAAAAAGAAAAAGAGAGAGAGAGAGAGAGAGAAAAGCGCGGAAAGGATCAGTAGGTGTAAATACAAGTCGGCGAGAGCTCCATTAACGATATCGCTCGGAATGTAATGCGACAAGGCGCGAAAATCGGCGCGACACATGACGATAACAAATTCTAATCTCGATCGACATCGATCATCCGTCCCCACTGTGCAATAACAACGGATCGTCGTGGCTCCGCCACCGGTGCGTCACCCCCGGGATGATCGCGCGGGGAACGGATAAAAATTCAACCCCCCCTCCAAAAAATAATAATTGTTCGCGTCCTCTCTCTTTGTTCGCGCCTGCCGCGGCGCGTCCGCCGTGAAATTTCGTCCGGTCGAGCCATATTGCGGTTTCCCATTAAGCCGAAAGTTTTAAAGGTTCCCGCTAAACCGGTAAGCGGGTAGTTCCGACCAGGGCCTGCGGGACTACTTGATTAAAACCCCCTGAAAGTGCGACCCGCTGGCAGAATCTCCCGGCACTCTGCATTGTTTATGGAACAATAGATAGGTTTGCCGCGTAGCTTGTAGCACGGGGCCGGCTACCAGGGATTCAGCATCCTCTCGCGTCCCACTGTTGGCCGGGTAACAACTTTATCCCTTTCGCCGCTTTCATCGCCACGTCACGTCTATATAGCGTTGCGTTTTCTTTCAACGTCGGAATCTTCAGTCGCGCCGCCGCCGGTGAAATTTAATGACTCGCAGTTTTAGTCCCGCCCCATGTGGATATCCCGTTCTGTTTTTGTTCAGCAAATGGGTTCAGATTTTGCGCATTTTTTGTGCGCAATAACTGTAGGAAAAGTGTCACATCTTGATTGAGATTCCAAGTTTCACTCCTCAGTTATACTAGACAAAAAATTAATAAACTGTCCAGTAATTGCTCCAAGAATGCATGAAATTTTTACCAAAGATTTGGCGTGTCATTTAAATTAGATATCTATTATAAAATTGAACATTACTTCCTGTTCGTTATATAATTATTATTGTTGTATTTGATTACGCCATAGCACGTTCTAATATAAGTGTATTACTCCAATATATAGCGCACTTAATTGCTTAAATACAAGTGAGTGAAACTGAGAAATCATAAAGGAAGGAGAAAATAGCGTAAAGTACTTTTAGAGAACGGAAAGTGCATTTAAGAGCATCACGCGACTCGCAACACTTTATGCTCTTATAACATCTTATTGCTCTTACACAGATAGGTCGAATGGACGTAAAGTTCCTCGCAGCTCACGATGCTTTCAACTTTATTGCAAAAAAAAGGGCCTTAAATAGGTTTCCCGTCGCGCTGTACGCCGCACCGTTCCTTTGCATTTTCTCGAAATGTCGGGTATCAGTTTAAACTGAATGGCGACGAAGAAAGCCACGCCAACCTCAATCATTTCGCGAATTGTCCTATTTAGGATACACATGTATTTCATGCAATAAAGCTGTACGACAAAATGGTCGCATCATTGTGACATATTATTTTGTGCGCGATATTGGTCTCTCGTGATATTAAGTGACAAAGATATTTCCGATATCGTGATACCAAATTGAAGAAAGTATCTAATAGATGTAATTACTTTGTGGTTGCAACGAAATAGTAATTTGTCACATATCTAACATTTTAAACTTTATATCGTTCATATACTTTTATTTTTACACATTGAACCGCGAACAGTATGTTCTAAACGATGAATTATAAACACAAAAGGGATGAAAATTTGATCATTCAAATAAATAATGCGATAATTGCATCGTCGATAGCGGCCGTGAAAGCAGCTCGCTGTCGTTTCGCGAAATAAATCGTTAAAGTAATTTGGAAAGAAAACCTTGAAACCTTTAAAACTTTAAGACCTTCTGGAGGTTACTCGGGAGAATACTCTCGGCAACATATATCAAGTTCAAAGACATCAGAGGAGCTGTGTCCGTTAGAACGAATAATTATCTTAATTTTGCCGCGTGATTCAACTCCATAACAGTTTTAAGTTTCAACCAATTACCATTACACTGCATGAATAATTTATCAAGCAAATTGTACGCGACGTAAATGTACGCGGCTACATACAGCGCTCTCGATTCACGGTGCATCTATTTTTTCACTCTCTCCAATTTCACGCGTAATAAAAGACAGTTCGGTCGATGTAAGTAAAATATGCGAGAGGTGCTCTCTCCTTCCCCCCCCCCCCTCTTCCTTTTCCCCTCTCTCTCTCTTTCTCCCCCTTTCGTTGAATATATCGCAGATAATTCCTACACGCAGATGGAACGCGTACATGGCACTTGTAATCCATTGAGTGGCGACAACGGGGTTACCATAGATCATTTCATCAAATACTGCAGTTTCTCCGCTAATATGACGATCTGCTTTATTCCGGCCACGGTCGGCAAAGCGTTACCTATGTAATCGCTCTCAAAATGGGGGTAAAGGCACGTTCGGCTGTAATATACGTTTCGCTTGCGCACGATATTGTCGCTTATGATGTGAATTATGAAAATAAACGATGCCTCCGGTTTCTCCCTTCAAACGCCGATGTAAAATAATTCGTTAGCGTAAATGGCGGCGGTAATGGTGTAGACGCTGCTCCCCGATAAATATTCGCAGAGACGCGATATTTCTTTAGAAGACGTGCTATATGAAAAAGCATCGAATAACGCGTAATTCGCATTTTCGCCTCGTACATCGCGGATATTACGAGATCTGGGCGCGAAAGAGAATCCAAACGAATAATGACGACATAATTGTATCCATATATTATCCAGCAAATATCAGCACGCAGCTGTCTTTAATGTCTAAGCAGCCCTTGTGACAAAGTGCCCGGGCATAACTCGCCTTTACTTTGCGCCTTTTGCCCGAGTTTAATCTATCTGCGCCAGTCATATCAACCAACACGCCAGAAATGAATGCAGCGTAGATGCAAATAGCTCTCTAGGAAGGCGCAAAGTGCTCTTTGTCACACGACATGCAATAAAAGTTTCGACGCATATGCGCATCGCGCTTTCAGTTGCGCCCGGCGCTCCGTCGCATGCTGCCTTCTTTGTCGACATTATCGATATCCGCACGTTTCGAAATAACGCCGATATTAACGCGGCGCGACCGCGCCGGCGCTTATTAATTCGTGAGAAGAATTACAACTGCGACCAGTTGCGCGTTTTGCAAACTGTATTATTATTGTATTACATATTCTAGAATAATTACCTTGGGCGGAACATGATGCGGGGATTTTTCAGCGATCTGTTATTTACAACGCGCAACACGCTTTAATTAAAAAGTATCGTTTAATTGAAAATTCGATTATTAATTAATTGCTTGTAGATTCCACAGCGGGGGTCCGTAACACGTGCGCGCGTAGGTGTGTGTATATTTCCACACGAACGAATATTTATCTCCCGGTAAATCTGTTATTTCATAGGAAAAAACTCACAAATAGAAATATTGAAATAACATGCATAACAATCGCGTAACAGATGTTTTGCCAAAACTTGAAGAAAAATACACTTATATTGATATACACGACCATATTTCATGTTTCAGTGAATGTCGTGGATGGCGAAGTACTGCATATCGTGAAGATCAGTCGTCTTCACATGGGGGCTTATCTGTGCATCGCTTCGAACGGCGTTCCGCCATCGGTCAGCAAGAGGGTCTTGCTGCGTGTACAATGTAAGTTACTAATATCCTCGCGTTATCGGGGAATTTTGAGCATGCACGTAAAACGTTCGCGGATATTTGTCTCTACTTCGTGTAATCCACAGCCGACATAAACGCCACACGAATAGCAAAGAAACGATCTCTATTGATGTTTGATTGTAGACGGTGGGATTTCTAATAACGTCAAAATAGCGAATAACACCAAAGAGCGTTTTACCGCGATATTTTAATGTTTATTTATGAATACGGTTCAAAAAGCATTCCAAAATATTCGTAAAGTGGTGGCTCTGCTATCCATTAACCTAACGAATTCAAATAAAACCAATAGTTCGCGAAGCCAGCGATTTTAATATTGATTTCTCTGATTGAAAAAGTTTCTGGGAATTATTTTCCAGGGCGCGCGGGTATCGAAACTGAACCAATCGAAAGTTCAGAGGATCGCCTCGGATAATCGAACATAGATTAAAACGTCCGTATATGAGTGACTCGGTACTTGAAATGTTATTTATAGAAAATATTCGAAACCTCTCAATTTTTAAACTCGTCCGATGAATTCTGAAATTCCTGCAGACGTCTGACTTTTGAATCTGTACTCAAAATTATTATTTTACCTCTTAGATGTTATAAATCTTATCTTCGAGAAGAATATCGTAACATAGTAATTATAGCGATAAACTAATTGTTAAATTAAATGTGCAGGAAAAATTAATTGAAAGAAATACATTGAAAACGCTCTTATTCTTTCGATCCTCGATGCACACATTTGCCGTAATATAATGCCGTAAATATCTCGATACGAAAATATATCTATATGTATCACGGATTATATCGGAATATATTGATTTTACATCAATACCACTTTATTGAACATCGGTTTGGACGTTAACATTATCGATTCCTCCGTGTGTGTATGCGCGCCATTAGCGAAAACCACAATGTCATCGTAATACTATGCATTTCGGTATTATGATAAGGGCGGGATAAAACTCCGGGTGAAACGACCATTGTCGCGCAAGAATGCCCGCGTATATTTCTGTGCGAGAAAAGATGATAAGACAGGATGACGGAGGGAAAACCGTTTTTATCATGCCTCGTCGATCGCGAGGCACGCATAACTCGGTAAATGCCGGTCTCTGGAAGCGGCGGTAAAACACAATGCGGGAGAATATTATACTTTTAATGAGCTAGACGTGGTTCATAAACGTTTGGAATGAAATAGTGCCACTAGTTTTCCCTGATACATAACCCGCGCTAATATCGCTACTGATGATCTGCTTTTTATTGGACTCTCAACGGCACGCCAACCGCGTGTTATAGCGAGTTCTTAACAGACGCTATAAACGCTTTGCGGCACTGCCGCGTTTTATCGCGCGCGGATTCGTCCGGAGAGCACGGAAGTGGACTGCACGATAATGCATCATTTGAGGGAGCATCTCTCTTCGGCCAAAAATGTACATTCGCACCGATTGGCGATACGTATTCGCGTGAAATACGACAAGAGTCGTTTGACGTAACGGCGAGAATCGCGTGCCGATATACATTACGAGATAATTAGCATCGCTATATATTTCACGCTGCGTCAAATTCGAGAATGAGTAACTCCCCCGTGAGATGAAGATATATTTATTTATGTGCGAAAGCGGAAGAGCGGGGTCGGTCACACTTGGGAATATACGTTGTCGCGGTTACAGCGCGATGAGGAACGGTCGTTCCTCGCCGGGTAGCAGCATATCCTCCGCGTTGCGTCATGCATTAGGTCGGTTTTCAACGTCTCATTTAGCCAGCGATTTATGGCCGGCTACTTGACCCAGATATGGTCGATATGCGACCGTTCGTCCCCGCGCAGCCGTTTCATCCGCCCACCTCTATCCGTCCGGTAGCTCCCGTGGTTCTACTCAGTTTGGGCCGCGAAATGCGTTTCCGCGCCGTCTTTTCCGGCACGTTAGTTCCTACGCGTCTCGCGTCCCCGCCTCCGAGTCGGGCGAGCGCAAATATTAATAATCGTCCGAGGAATTTGCCTTACGCGACGGTAGAGCGGGGATTTCGTACGAGGGTCACGAATCGCGGAGCGTCAACTTTTCGATCAGCCATGCCCACGCGCGACGTTCAAAGTTTCTCTCGCGCGCACGGTAAGCAGAGGTTGCGTTATGTATTCTCTCTTGGATGTTGATCCAATGACGGTGCACGGCGCATGATAAACGCGCGGGTATTACCAGCGCACAGCGTGAATTAATTCCCCGTCGTGTATCATAAAGATACATCGGCGAACAACTTTTTCAGAGTGACTTTATCTTCAGCACATCGCGGATGCCGTCATTATCGCGGGCTGCGCGCGATTACAGCGCAATCCATATTCTCGAGGGCCGCTTTCCCCCGGCGATGTTTGTTTAATCGCGGGAGAATGACTCGATAAACACGAGATTTCTTTTTTTTTTGTTTCCGGAATATTAAAGAGAACGGAAAACGGAGCTGGCGATTAAAATTGCGCGAGCCGTTCTATCCGAAACTATAGTCCCTGAGACAGATTCTGGCTACTGAACGTTCATGTGTATTGGCTGAGTCAATTTCTGTAATTAAACGGCCGGATCAATAAGAAGTGCAAAAATGAGATAAATTTAAAGGAGAAGATTCTTCAGACGTGTCAGGACGTCGGTGAAATTTGACGAGTAAAAATTGCAACTTGTACCGTGTACGTATCGAATGATGTGCAATTGGAATCCGAGCGTTGCTTGCGGCCCTTAGATTTATCGATAGCTCAGCGGGATGATTGAGGAAAGGAGATAGGTGGAAAAACTACCCTCCGTAGCTCTGTCGGAAGTGCAGCCGCTGCTAGTAAATCGTGATTTACGCCCGTCCGTAAAAGACGAAACTATGACATGATACTGCCGATGCATCGAGGCATCTCTATATCGATCGAGGGAGAACGACGACCGCCCGTCCACGATGTACCAATATCAATTGGGACGCAAGTCCTTTGTGAAACGAGCCTTTTCTTTCTCTTTAAAGTGGTACTTAGACTTGGTAAATATCAAATCCGACTATCAAAATAACGAGTTGACTTCTTACTAACTTCTCGCGCGAGAAATTGAAAATTTAACGACGAGCTCCTACATCTTTAAAACTCGGATATTTTTTATATGTATATGAGGCACCAGACTATCTGAAAAGGATTTTTCTCTTATCAGAAAGTTTAGTTTTATTCTGCATATATTTCAGAACAATCAGTAGCGATATTACTTATGAAAGAAGTTCACAGGACGATAGTTTCGGAATACGATGGCTCGATTAAATTCTCCTATAAATCGTGCCATGATATCTTCCTTAATTACCGTAGTATTAAAGTAGTTGGCTCATTATGCCAATTTTTTAGGAACTCTTTTAAAGTTTTTATCTACATATTGATGAAAATACTATCTATACATCTAAAAAGTTAAGAAACGATTGATTATTCGGAAGCGGAGATATTCGCAAGTGAAGATGATACTTTTTATATATGTTCCTTAAAATTAATAATCTGTTTTTAACTTTTATTTTTAATTCCTTTTAAGCCACATTTAGGATTTTAATGGAAAACTACAGATATTAAAGACTAAACTAGAGACATATAATAAAAAAATTTCAAAATATTAGACCATATTGTATGGAAGATATAACCATGGGAAATTTACAATTTATAATAATGCTCGCGATATATGCGTATATATACATATTTAAATATTTATGTATCACATTCTGTTATGCACCTCTATTAGCTAAACTGATATATAAATGAAACATTAATCAATAAAAGATGAATAATATTTACATGTTTGTAATATTGTATAAATATTTATCCCAATGTCACGCACGCTCAAAATTAACATTTATTACTTAAATAGTTAAGTAAAGTTATGGAAAGTCTTCTTCAATAAATAATAAACTTTTAAAGGAGCTTCTTAATATCATCACAGAAAATTCGATACTTTACGGGCCAACTACTTTAAAAAATAAATGAAGAAAAAATGTCCTTATTCAAATAGAAAAACGAAGGGATATAATTTTCCTCCTTCATTAAACTAGTAAATAAAGTTAGAGCAAACGCATATCGGCAAAAGGTTCTTTTGTGTTACAGTCCCCCGCTTTTGTACCTCCAAAAGTGTCAGAGGGTGGCTCGAAAAAGCCGACACGCAGCTTACGTTGCATGTTACCGCATGCAGCTGCTTATTTCAGACAGCGCATTTAAATCATGACAACTACCAGAGTGAAAACGTATGCAGAAATGCATGCAACGTGGATTGCGTGTTAGTTGCGCTTTTTCGTAAACGTTTCATTGAAATTTTCGGACGTTTCGAAACGGCTTCTGACTTAGAAAGGAGCCCTTTTGGAACACATGTTTGCACGGACCAGCACCGTTGTTTTAATGAGTATGCCAACTGATATTTAATAGATACATACCGCTACCCTAATCAATCCTCAACCTTGGACAGAATAATTCTTTCGGTTGTTCTTTGCTTAATTTTAATTGCGCTCCATTTGTGCTTTTACGTATAAACATGTATAAATACACACGCGACACGTAAATTCATATAGCAGGTTCTTACGAGCAACGTTAGCTTTAAAATCGATTTTAATTATACTTTGGTTTTTTACCAATTAGATTCTCTAATATATATCTGTCGTACTATTTTCGTTATTATTCTTACGGTTTCCACACTGGTGAATAATGCCGATGAAGAATAATTTTGTCTACTCTCATGTATTCTTTATTGCGAGAGTTCAAATATATATACAGCATATATAGTGAATTTTATCTTCATACATTTTACAGTTCCACCTATGCTATCGATACCAAATCAGTTGGAAGGAGCGTATATTGGACAAGATGTCACACTTGAATGTCACACCGAAGCTTACCCGAACTCGATCAATTATTGGACAACCGAACACGGCGACATGATAGTCTCTGGTAATTTTAAAAATTCGATACTCATTACCCTTCGTAACTGCGCTGCATGTCTGATATGGTCTGACGCTGTTCTATACTCATGTATTATCGATTTTCGACGAAGTAACATATGAAAATAGAACGGATCTTCATCATCCTTTCTGTAATATTTCTTTCCAACTCGTCGTAAAACAATCGCGAAAATTTCGAGAAATTAATCGTTAACTCTGAGTTCTCGAAGTGTGCATAAACGGAGCGGTGCCAATAAAAAAATATCGGAACACGATATCGATACGCTTCAACGATAAAAAAAAAATATTTCTTATCACGTAACTTTACAATTGTAAGTCTATACGGAAGACGGAGAACTTGGTCTTATTGGCACAGGCAATTACCATTCGGTTACAGGCGACAAGTACGAGGCGGTATCTACCGACAACGGTTACAACAAGTACATGATGCTGAAGATAAGGAACGTCGGCCCAAAAGACTTCGGTTCGTACAAATGCGTGGCGCAAAATTCACTCGGCGGAACGGATGGTGACATCAAACTAGACGGTAAGTCGTTTAGCGACAGTAATAAATGTATCGCACGTGTGTACATCCCCGAAAGGACACGGCGAAGCAAAATTCTCGTCGCGAAGATACATCTTGTCGAGTTTTCCGGGCGCAAACATCTAACTTCGCACATTGAAAAGTATCGAGCAAACGTTGTAACGTAATGGTTTATCTAGGATCGATTATTCGAAGTCAACGTCTGCGGCGCTAATGGTGAAATAATTGGTTTCCAATAGTCAGTTACTTAAAGACATTTGAGCCTTCGTCGTTAACGAGCGACGCGGGCGAGGTCGGGCATACTTCTCCGGGCGAGCATTAACCATAATTGCCCATTAAATTTGTGACGGACATAGTCACTTCATGCGAGAGAACTTTCGTGGAAATTACGATTGTATCATTTCACGTGATATTTTATTACGTTGTTGAAAACTCTGATCTCTAAATATAGCGGTGTCGCGCGATGATAATTTTGTTTTCCGCATGGAATTCTCGATAATACGCGCGCGACTGCGGAGTGAATATCACAACAGATTCATGCATATCGCCAATATTGCCTCGTATCCGCGGCGAATGCAATTTTTTACATGGTCGCGCGAAGTTAATGCTAAAATACACCGCTTGTTTATTCTGACGCAGAAATCCCGGCACCTTCGACAACATCTACAATGCCACCGCCGTATTACCAACCCACGTCGACGATGAAAAAGAACGGTAATTGATTGATCACACATAAACATATCCTACGTATTCTGTCACGATTTATATATGTGTACCTGTTTTATATATATATATATATATATATATATATATACACACACAATGAGAGTGTGTGCAATGTGATAGAACAGCGGTTAGAAAAGTTATGATCAAAATTGCGCCGTGATGCAGCATTATCGCCGAAAGTGCCGAATTAGGTAGAGTAACGTTACCTCGCGGGATCAGGCGACAGGGACATCCGATAGAACGAATGCGACATTAATTTACTTCACGATTCCTAAGTGAGACCGTCCATTACCACTTCTCGTACACGCGCCTACCGTAGAGCACCAATGTAAAACCGCCTTTGTGTAATGTATTTTAGGTAGAAACGGTAACAAGAAATCACAACTACCGCCTAGCGACTACGATGTCGAGGAATTGCGAAATCCAGGTCAGTAAATATCTATTTTAACACGCTCCGCGTAGAGCCCGGGCATTTCCCACGACGATACACGTTCCGTCCGACCGCCATGTCGTTCGAGTAATTAGCGTAATTAAAACCTCGTCAACGGTGTACGATCGGCGTGAGAGGGAAGAGAGGGAGCTCCTAAGAGGGGAAAAGAGAAGGAGAAGGGAGGAGAGAGATAGAGAGAGAGAGAGGGAATCCACTAAATTGGCAATGCTCGGTGATCCACTTTATCCGCGAGCGAATTACTTCGCGTTACACCGACCCTTTTATTGGCCGAGAAGGATTTTGCGGTCATCCCTTCACTGTCGTGAGACTCGACGGAAGAAATATGCATTGGCTGTTCGCTTAAGCTCAACGAACGAGAGTCAATGATCGCGTCCGATCCATTTTCTTTTTTTCTTTTTCAACGTCGTGCGCACGTTGCAAATCCGACGATCGGGAAGTCATGGAAGTTTCGACTGAAATTTTTATCCAATCGCTTAAATAACTAAATAGCCCAACAATCGCGATTTTAGTACAAATTTACCGGGATTTATAAGTTTTTCTCGACACGCGCTCTCATTACCGAGACAAGCATTTTCTTGGAACGAATCGCGACAGTTTCATCGCAATCTCATGTACGCACACATACACGTATATTTATACACGAGCCCGACCACGAGCGCATTGCACGTTTGCACTACAAATTTGCTCGCGCTGATCAGGGTTAAGCTATGAGGGATTATAAGACGTCCTTCGTAACATTTTCGTTTAAGTCCTCCGCTACAAGTTTACCATCCCAAAATTTCAAAGTTCGGCCCCGCGCGCGAGTAATCGTTGATGTATTCCACGATGCATCCAACCGCATCTCACGCGTCGGCAAACACGAAAGAGCTCCCGTATAAGCACTGCGGATTTTCGCGAATTTACCGCGGGAATTCGATGTATTTTTGGAACGGCGACAGGGTTTTTAACGCCTGATCGCGGATCGCTTTCTCGGCGCCGCTTTTTCATCGCGGCCGGGTCGCGACAGGCGTCACCGACGGTGGTCTCGCGCGTTAACGACTTCGAGTTCTGCAAATTCTTATATTATACAAACCAGCTGACGGGGATTGGCGGCAGGACGCAAGTTCAAGACTCACTTCGAATGACTTCGCCCAAAGATTCCCCCGAGCGTTGGGGACCAGTTCTCTCTCCCTCCCTGAAGTTTACTTTCAATTAATGAAAAACGAGCCGCGTTGACCCGCGGCCGTCTGCCGCCTCCGGGATCAGGAAGTGGAAGAGAGAAAATGGAGAGAGACGAACTCCTCCGTTATTTTCTTTCTCGCTCCGCGCGTCCTTCTTCCCTACCTCCTTCAAAAATCGATTGACTTCGAGCGTATTGCCCCATGCACACAATCACGATTCACGTGATGTTTGAGTAATACTTGCGCGCGCGCACCAGGTTAATTGTCTCTCGCGCACGGTCGTCGAAAAAGCAATTGACAAATGATCGCTCCACGCGATATATCATCTAAATAAGATCCGACGATGCGAGCCTTTATCTACGATATTATACGTGTACGCTACACCAACGAGACAACGCTTCTTCAGACGCGCAACATTGCACTCGATAAAAATTGAAATAGAATTCGTGCTGCATTGGAATAACTGATTTTTATCGCGCGATGGATGTGAGCCAGCGGAAACTACACGGAGAAAATGCTGTGGTGAACATCACCACAAAATTTTATAATGTCGCACACCAGAATTATAACTGAAATTAAAACACGTGCTCGAAGCTTTGAGTTTATGTTAAATCTTTAATTCTACAACATAGTAAGAGCTAAGATAACAAAATAGGTTCGATTTCAATTCTAATAATATAATATAACCTTTACTTTCGTCCTGATGATGTCTCAAATTTCCATTTTCGCTGTTTTAGCGTCAAAATAGATTGTTAAAGGTAGCATTAAAATTAAATTTGTAGAATTAAAGGTTCAAGAGAGAAAGTATCTTTAATACAGTATATTAAAGTATCAGCATCGTCAAAGTAGGTTTTCATTAGTCTATATTTTTATTCGTTGAAGTAGACACAAACTATCCTTAATAGCATCCAAATACCGTCAAAATTTCAATTCAGATGTAATTTTTAGTAATGTACTTCATTCTACACTAAAGATTACAATACACATAATAATTTCTGTCATAATTCCGGTATAGTCCAACATTACACAATTTTGTGGTGTGATTTTAACTATAATATTTTCTTCGTGTTCTGGTGCACAGCTCCGATAAATGAACCAAAATTGTTGCATCGAATAATGTTTAGTGTTCATTGCAACTGATCGAGTCGAAAGTTCCTCGAGTACTAACGAGCGACTTTTCGAGAAGTCTCTAAAATATAATCAGCGCTAAAGAAAATGTACAGACTGAAGCGTCAGTAAAGATGCTGTTAAAGTGTTAGAAAATGGCTCGTCTGTCGCCGGCCATGCGGAAAGTCACGTACAGTGGATTTTACTGGTAGGTGGGAATAACTTTTTCCGAACGGACGTGCGGTTTCGACGTCCGTTTCTGGCGGGCGAGCCAAGGGGCACGATGAACTACTCCCGAGAAACGCCCTGCATTTGGGACGACCATCCACCGGTGGTAGGAAAAAGGCAAAAAAGGACATTTTCTCGAGTCGTTACATTCCGACTTTTTGGAGAACAAATTCCGTTAATATCGCTCTAAACGTTCCACCGGTTGTTTGTTCAAGTATCGGAAAAAATTCCCGAAGAAATATTTGATTTATAAGATCGAACTGTTGAGGGACTTGAATACTAAACGATATCACGCAATGATACGGTCAATTACTAATGAACATTTTGAAATTGTTAACCACTGATCAACATATGTTTTTTTTCTTGTTATCTAACTCTAATGCTTGCAAAATGGAAATTATTAGCGTAACAATTACCGGTGTAACATAGTTTTTGCATTTTTCGCGGAGCAATTTAAAAGTGAAATTAATGAAGCGAGTAAAAGTTCTGCCTCATCCAGATAGTACCGCTGTTAATAAGTGCAATTTGTTACGAGGAAGCGGATCCTAAATTATTCGATAATGCCGTGGGTGGAAGTCATTAAAGTAAATCGAGGTCATGAAGTTTTATCGCGGCAATAATCGTACATTCTGATATATGGTCTGCCGTCATTGATATATTCGTTTCTATAACATCGCTGACTATACATTAGCGCCACAGGTGGCGATGTTGATTCAACTTCGATTCATTTATCAAAGTTCGCACGATCAATAAAAGTTGCCATCGCGAAATGCGAGTTTAATCAGATTAAACGGTACTTTTTCTAAAACTGCCGATGCTCCTATGTTATTCGACAATATATTTGCAAAACAGACCGGCCTAAATTCACCGGTAAATTCGTTCGAACATTATTTTACGTCGCCTAAAACTCTGTGTGTCAAAGTTTGCCACTTCTCGTCGCTAATTACTCACTTATCGCTCACTTATCGCGACTGTCGTTTTACGAAATTTCGTAAAAACAAAGAAGCGTTCGCGAAATCACGTGGAAGATGATTTTCATTCGCGCAACGAGACGCAGGAATTCGTCTGAACAACCTTATTACGGTTGAAGAAATTTAAGAGCTGTTAGCTCCGAAAGCTCAATATATCATGACGCGCATCGCGTAGCAGCTCTCCCCTCAGCTACGTATCTCACCGTTGTCTCATCGCTCTTCTCGCCACATGAACAAATGAAAAAGCACGCAAGACACATCTGCGAATTACTGCGGCGCCACAATTAATCCAGTAACATTTCATCCAGCGTTTCTTTGACGGTAACGGCTGATAAGAGGCGATTTAACAGACGTCGGATGTATTTAATCTCAAACGAATTTACCCTTCCCGCGTTCTCTGGCCCACCGCTCCTCATCGCCGAGGGTTTTATCTCGTTAAAAAGGGATTTGAGTGAGTTGAACATCGCAGAAATTCCGGTTGAACCGAGAGTTCGCTCGAATTTAATTCCCGGGCACGCGGGAGACGGAAGCGTGGGGGGGAAGGAGGCGGCACCCCCTCGCGTTTCGCATTATCCGCAACAACTCCTCGTATTTATCTTCCGTATCCGCTCGTTAACGTGCGTGGGCGTATATCGCCGCGTCGAATACGAAGCCACTGAGGAAATGAGCGGCCGAGCTTGACGATTTTCGCGTATGTTTAAGCGCCGCCGACTATTTGTTTCGGGCGTCGCGTTGCTGGCAAACGGCGGTGACGCGGCGGCCGCTGTGTGTGTGTGTGTGTGAAAATACGGCCAAGAAGTTCGCCCAGAACGCGGTGTCGACGGCGGTGGTGTGTTCACGGTCGATGATACAAAATGCGGACGGTATTCCGATAGTCGACTACCCTGCGGCCAGCCAGCTCCGCATTGGCAGGAGCTAAGTGAGAGTATATTAGCTCTTGGCCGATGAATAAGCTATCCTTTCTTTAATTATCGCTCTTGTTCTGTTTTTACGCAAGGAGATATTTTTGTTATCGATATGCAGCATTGAAAAATAACACGATTGACCAGCAGATGTGGACTGATCGCGGAGGACGAGTAACGATCATTTCCGTTCGCTCAGCCGGTGAATAATGCTCGGTGTTGCCATTAGGACATTTTCGCGAGTGGTTTCTTTCGTTCCCACTTAAAATGCAATATAAAATTGAACAGTACGCTGGCTCATACTATTTGGATGAAACTGATGGACAGTTTCCAATCGCGTTCTATATCGATCAAACGTCTGTCTCGATTGTGCGGTCTGCGGCGGGATACGTCATATATTTCCCGGATTCTCGAAAAAGAAGCTCGAACTTCCGAGACTTGGTCCGTGCGAGTTAATTTGGCCGAATTTCGGGGAATTATTGTCCGGCGCAATGTCATCCGCGAGAACACAGTTTTTGCATTCTTTATGCGCTTGCGTACATTCGTTATGTATTCATGCGATGAAAATGGCTTTGTCGTCACCGGCAAATGAGATTCATGATATATGTGGATAAAGGCAATTACGTCGAGCGAGTCCACTAAATGAATACCGTTTGTTAAAATCCGTTTCCCCGTTCCTAGACTTTATTATTTTTTCTCGCTTTTCTCTCAGAACGGCACACTTCGTAGGAAACAATGCGTAACCGTTGCGAGAGAATTTTAAGTACTCCCACGCTCTTGTCTCTATTGAGTTGTTTAGCCGCATTAAAGACCACTCCTAATTATAATTCAATAGATGAGGGAATAAGAATAAGATAAAAATTTACATAGACGTATCATTTCAGAGAGAAGTAGGAACACATTTGAGATGTACGGTTATTCATGCATCTTGCAAATATATTGTGTACAGGTACGGTCTCGAATCAACATGGACAAATTTCGAGAGGACGTAGAACGAATTGAGGTGAAAAAGAGTCTTGTATTATTTCGCAAACAGCCCGCAAAATTTCGCGTTATTAACGATTGAAAATAGCCGTGCATAGAGGCTTCTTTAATTAATAATTAAAAAATGTTGATGCTGCTTACAAAATAATAAAAGACTCTTTTTGTTCAGGGCGGAAAATTTTGCGTGGTTGTTCGCAAAATGGCAGAGGACTTTTCCGTTCAATTTAACTCGTTCTACCTCCATAGGAGCGATTGGCCGAGAAGTTTCGGACACTCTGTACATACAGAATTTACCAACTTTAGACGTCAAGTTTATGACGATTACCGCCACTTCTCGGGACCCGTAATGATCGGAGAGTATAACGAACGTTTCACACTGCAATCTTCCCCCTCTGCCCTCTCCTTTCCTTTCTTTTTTCTCTCGTAATAGCGATCGAACTGGAAATTACATCTGAATAGAACTCCTCCCCGCCATGCCCGCGCAATTGTCCCATTCTGTTCGTGGTGGAACAACCGCAGCGTAGTTTTGTCTGTTTCCAGGCCCGGCGTCGATGAGGCCACCGGGTGACCTGCCGGCGGACGCCCAGAGCCCGGGCGTGTCCCATCGAGCGCAGCTCATCCTTCTCCTCTCCCTGAGCCTCCTATCGTTGCTGCTTCCGGCCATCAGAAGGTGATTCTCACGTCGCGGGAACGGGGCTTCCAGTTCTAGTGTTTATTGGCCGGTGGCCGACCCGGGGACGACCGGCACGGTTACCGGTTACCTCCGGTGCACCGTCTCCGGCAGAGTGACGGACGAGTGCGATGAAGCGGGCCGTGCTTGAAATTATTTTCATACTAAAACTAGACTTATATACAAAAAACGGGAGAAAAAGAGCGAGCGAGAGAGAGAGAGAGAGAAAGGGAGAGAAAGAGAACGAACGAAAGAAAGAGAGACAAAGAAAAAATTATATATATAATATATACATATATATATATATATATATGAATATAAAAAAATGGATATAACGATATGTTGTGTAAGTATACATGCGGTGAGTACGAGGCTACGTTTAGGCTTTCTCGACTGATCGGCGCTCGTGTGTCACCCGTTGTGTGAATCGCGCGCCTTGGTTTACTCGCGCGGGACAAGCTTCTCGCGTCCGACCGCTTCTCGACGACATCTCCTTCCTCCCGATATGGAACCGTCGAGAAGACGACGTACACGGCGTTACACGCGCTGAGAGGAACTCGTCGTATGGTCCTTCTATCGATCGCGATCCTACGCCGAATATCTCCGGGGACTCGATATACGTATAGCCCGCGGCGAGGACGAGCCCGGTGATTTCTTCGCGGGAAAGTTCGCAGGACGCCGTACGAGGACTGAAAGAGAGAGTGGTTCCCAGGTGCGTCCGCTTCTTCTTTTCCACGAGAGCGAGAGCGAGTGCGAAGCGGAGTGACTAGATAAACTTAGAGACGGAGCTTGATGTCTTTTGAGTACGACGGTGAACCTCAGCCGACGCCCTCGGATTCAACGAAATTCTCCCGAATCGGTCGGGACCCGCGTTTCTCTCACAGACGCTCGCCAAAAGTATACCCTCGCCTCCGTTCATGATGCGCCGCTTATCGATGTAAATTACAACGTTCCCCCGGAGCATCTTCTCCGCGACTTCTGACACGTCAACTGTTCTCCCGATATATTTTTGCCGGCAATCATTGAATTCCGATATGTAGAAGGGCGAGACGAGATGCATCGTGTACTTTCGCCACGATTCGCTGAGCCGATCCCGATAACCAATTAGGTGCTAATTAATCCTTTCCTTTTTATCGGAGAGAAGAACGATCGATGGATCCCGACACGCTTTTTCGCCCCCGCAATCGTTTTGATGTTACAATACGCGTTTCCGTTTCACTACGAGGAAGACACGGGAACTGTATTCAGTGCATATACATATACGTACGCATAAAACGGTAAACAAGAGTATAAATAAACAAATATATATATATATATATATATAGATATATATATATACACACGTACGCGCGGATTGTAGTTGTGTCACGAGACACATCGCTCGGTAACTTCGTAATTAGCTCTATTCGATCGGTAAGGCGTGCGGATATTTAATCGGAGCGCGCGGTCGCTTTGCGAGGCGCGATCGTCAGCAAGAATTCGACGGGAGATCCATAAGAGATACGTGCCCAATGTGTGTGCGTGCATGTGTGTGTGTGTGTGTGTGCGTGCGTGCGCACGTGTGTGTACGTGTGTGATCCCGGGGAAGAAATTAACGCTAGACATCAAGTAGCCTCGAATCATCGACGACGGTGACGCAGAGAGCTTCGTGGCTTCTGTTTGCGCGATTATGACATTTCGACGGTACGAGATGCAGTACGGTTTCCGTCGCGATAGCACGGCCGTAATTAGAGAGAGAAGGAGAGAGAGAGAGAGAGAGAGGATGACAATCCGGAAAAGTGCAGTGTGTGCCTGCTGTACAGTTATAAGTCAATCATACGCCGCCGCAGCGGCGTATACGGTATTATCGCTGTTCTCGAGAATCGATTGGCACACTCGAAAGCGAGACTCGTACTCGCGCCACAAATCCTGTTTGATTATTTCACGTTTTGTCGACCGCACGACGCGAGTTGTCTTGCGCTCAACGGGCACAACAGGCACACCAATGATAATGCAGGGGATGCTCCGCGACGCTTCAGCCACTCTGGATCTCCTCTTACGTTGTACCTGACCGTATGAATTACTACTGAATCGCCGTTCGATCTCGGGCGGAGCGGATGTGAAATGTTACACGCGCCTTTCCCTGTTAATTCTGTAAATATTGTAGATACGTTGTGCTGTGATCGGTCCGGATCGTCGTCTTTGCGAGGATGACTCGAGGCTGCGCTTGTTAAAAAAGAAAACAGGAAAAAAAATGAACGTAGAGAATGTTGTGAATATTATTATATACAAACTGTTCGCGCGAGACCGGTACGACGGCGTTCGTACGATTACGTCGTTTCAGTAGAATACGAAAAATAAGGCTGCAGCGGTCGTAGGTATATCCTAAATTAAGTTATGATAACGTTATTAATGTATCATGTCCGACGATTTCACTATGTCAAAACGATTTTTATGTACTCGCGTGCATCTCATCTCGGAACGAGTCGCACACGAAACGATGATTAGAAGTAGATAGTGAAACTGTCGGCCTGTATATCTTAATAAATCGAGTACATGACTGCCACATACATATGCATTGTTCATTAATGGACCCCCTCCCCCCTCTCTCTCTCTCTCTTTTCTTTCTCTTATTCACTTACAAGTTGGACGTTTAATTATCTCGTAATTAACCTTGTTCGGTATTTTTTTCCTTATTTATGTTATATATTTAAAATATATATTATATTTCTCCGCATATATCTTTCTTCTTTTAAGTGAAAAGAGAAACCTGTGGAAAATTTCTTGCAGAGGTAAGTATTACTAATTGATTTCTCTTACTTAGCATTATCTATCTATAGCACGCTATATTACTTACAAATAGATCGTTATTTTCATGACAATTTAGAATAAAGCAATCCGGAAATAGCAATTCGAAAGGCACACGAACGTACTGAAAATAGTACATATGCGATATATATATTATTAATTTGACGCGTTATTAATAAATAAAATCGTAGTTGAATCTGTGAAATTGTAATTAATCTGCATCATTAATGGTTTCCCTTAAATATCTGCTTTAATTAGTTAGTCAAGTGTAATACCCATAATTAGTTGTATATAATTAATTTTAATCTAGTCGTAATTAAATTAACACGAGAATGAATAATGTCAGAACTACGCGGTTCCGCAGCAAAGTATATTTGCGCCCGTCAATTTCTACTTTTAAAACGATTTTATAAATTTCGCCCGCTCGTGCGTCATAAATCAACGCGTTATAACCGTGTTTGACATATTACCACCACAAATAATATTCATTTATTTTAACCAAAAGTAATATTTCGCGCACGGGGCTATGTTCCATGAAATCAAATGAAAAACGTTTTATACTTTCTCTACGAAGGAATATTTCGATCGTATAATATAATATTACTACATTATAGGTAAACTTACGAGAACAATTCTCTCTCTCTCCCGCTCTCTTGACATTCAAGTCGATATATTTCGGAGTTTCCTTAAATATAAATTTTCCTCCCGTTATAGCGCAGCTACTTCTTACAGACCGAATAGATGTCTGCGTTCGAAAACTGCACGTTCAATATATTTTCTTGCGTGAAATATTAAACAAGATACGCCGTACCGAAGTTTAACAACCTCTGAAGTACGTTTAAGTAGGCAGACGTATACTATAAATATAAAATTTTGCTTCGGATATATTAACGATGTTAGAAACGGCTTTGTATTTATATCTCGGTCATTATTGGCGAATAAAATTAATTACTGCGTAAATTCCGCGCATATATTTGTAGAAGTACCATTAAATTATCATAAAACGTGGCACGCATTCGACTCGTGGATATACAGACGATTGTATTGGTAAAAAAAAAAAAAAAAAAAAANCACCACGTACAATCGCGCATCCGTTGTAAGGATTTGGATGGATTGTGCACTACTATATATCTGCTTGATCCCAAATAATATATTGGGCGAAATTGGAGAGGGAATAATCCCAGCGTCCCACCCTTTGAAGTTACCGTTCGCAATATATTAACTTTTACGTCACATAATTAATCGGCAGGGATCGAGCGCAATCCCGCCGCTTCCATTGTATCGTGTACCAGCAGCGAGTGCCCGACACTGCATATTTCCTAAATGGTGCACGACGATGACGGTTTTTAATTATTTTTACGATATAAGCGTGATACAGAGGTATCAATTGATAACGTTTCGCTGTTCCGCCACGAAGAAGATTTCCTTGATACATATAAAATTATTTTTTCGAAATATTCTAAAATTTCTTTCAAGATCGCTTGAAAACGTGTCGAAATTGTACTTATTATTAGCCGAAATTCCGCGAGACTAGTTGGCAGAAGTAGAAATTATCACGGTAATTAGAGCCGGTAATTCATTTAATTCGGATGCCATTAAGTGAGAACGTGTTCATTAAACTTTCGGGGAAGTTACGAGGCTCGCTCTCGCACAGACACATCGTGGAACATTCTTTCAACCTCACACAAACAAGCGGACCTTGCTGAAGATCGTTCTTGCAAAAATAAGAAACGGCTCGCGATACATAATGAATCGGGCTTTCAACAACTGCCTTTGTATATGCCATAATATCTTCGCACATTATTCGCCCATGAAACTGTCTGAAATGAACGGTCGCGAACGAAATATCACAATTGCAGTTTCTTCTCTGGCCCACTTTTCGTTCTGTTACGATGGCAGCGATCGATCTTCTCGCCGAGCTCGAGAGACAAATGCTACGCGGTACCTTGTTCGTGAACTTTTTTCCATGGCGACATGGAAAAGGTTACGGCAACACCCACTCCTCGCCGATAGTTCTTCGAACGTCTTCTCGCCTATCCTTTCATACATATATATCCTCTTTCTTCCGCTTTGATAGATCGTTTTTATTGTACAATCGGATGCATTAAAGCTGCCAAGGGAGCCTTCATTCGCAGAAAGATCTTGACGACACACGGATTTCATCTGTTCTTTCCATTTCTTTTTACATTGTAAAAAATACAGTAGATCGTGATGTGGACTACGTAAACGAGAATATCTACTTCTCAAAGCATTACAGAAAAATTCGATCGCCGCGCAGAAGCGCACGGAATAGCGTTAACGCGCTCAATTGCACAACCGTGACGCGAACATTTCTGTCAGATAGGTCGGCAAACTTTCGCGGATTTCAAACTCGGCGCAAAACAGGCAGTTCCGCCGTCAATAATTAGGTTTGCGGACTGATTACAAGCTGACATAAAACCTGCTGATATCGCGGGATCAGTTTAAACTCATTT